TTTTTTTTTTTTTAAATTAAAAATTCTCGAGTAAACGAAGCGTCCGTCACGTTGAAAATTATTTTAGAAAGATTAGAATATATTTATCTTTCTGAATTCTGAATTTTCTTCTTTCTCTTTTTATCGATCTCTTTTCATCGTCGATTAATATACATAAAAATTTAACGATCGAGCTTAATACTTCTTTTCATCGATTCGAAAAATTTTTTTCCAATTTTCATTCTGAAATTTTCTCGCAATTCTTTAAAAAAAAAAAAAAAAAAAGATTACCTTAACGAGATTCCTCCTATTCTCCTATTCCCTTGAAGTAGGAAGATAAAGAGCATAAAAGTGGCTCCCTGTTACGAGTGGTGTTAAGAGTCGCCATCAAATTCAAATTTTTCCCTCTCGTTCGCATTTATGGAGGAGCGGAAAAATGATAACGATAGCTGGGTATTTTCGCTATTTAAATTGAACCGTCGCGACGATGTTTTAGCGCCTCCCCAAAACGGAAACGATCAGAATAACCAGGTGACTGGTATCCCTTAACCCTCCATCCGGTTTAACCGGCGTGTAAAACGCATTCAATGGTCGAGTTGCTGCAACGTTTACGTATATAACGTGTACTCGCGAATGGATTCGTGTTTCATACGAATATTCACCGACATAGAGAAACGTAATTACGATCTATATGTATATACATATACATATATACACACGCTTTTATCCACGAAAAATAATCACAGACGTTTTAAACTTGCTTTATCGTGAAGAGTCACGAGATTATCGATTTAATTAACTGAAATTCTATCGTGATAAAAAAAAAAAAAGGATAAAAAGATGGAAGACTCTATAACCGCAATTGAAAACATTTGGGGGAGACGATTCGAAGCGGAGACTTGATTTAAAGAAAAACAATTGAAATTATTAATTCACGAACGCTCTTTTCTTTCTCTTCCCATAAAAGGAATCGGTGAAATTATAGCGAAACGCGGGGATTGACTGCAATTAAAACGCTAAAAATACGTGTTTTCGCGGTATCTCTGAACGAGATACAAATAAAAACGAGACTCCCCCTCCTCTCCACCTTGACGATGCGAAATAGTGGATGCGCGTGCAAAAAAAAAAAAAAAAAGAAAAAAAGAAATTGCATTCATCATTCGTGCGCTGCCGACGAAATATAAATTTTACCGTGGCTTCTCCGGTTAAGGAATTAAACGGAGAAATGGAGAGGGGGAAAAAAAAAAGGAAAGAAAGGAAGAAAGGAAGGAATATAAAAAAGTTGGGAAATATATATATATATATACACGCGCGAATATGAATATTCATGCGTTAACGCGCGGGATGCGTAATGATGAGAAAGTTGTTGGCCGGCGCTTTTTTTTCGACGGATATTTATACCCGCGTATACGTGTGTATACGTGGCCACTTCACGCGCGCTCGCCCTGCTCAAGTGCCTCTATAAACTGATATATACGAGCGTCATAGTCACGCTTGCTCGCAGCGACCGGATATTAAAAAATGCCTTTAACGCTGCGAAACACTTCCTTCCTTCCTTCCTTCCGGTGTACCGTGAGGATTTTCCCACCCTGATCCGATATTTAACGCGGGGGGAAGGAGGTCGATCTGGTCGATCCTGAAGCACGAATTCAGAGAGAGAATTAATTTCAAGTAAATTTGGAGATGTTTTAAATATTGAAAAAGGAGGTTGAAGAGTGATTTTTGCTTAGAGTTACAATGGACAGTGAAAAATATCAAAAGGATTGATTTAAATATTAAACGCTTTACATTCGTTCACATATATAGATAGAAATTTTCTCGGATATTTCATTAGAGTCTTATTTCTTTTTTTTTTTTTTTTCTTTTTGTGTAAGATTCGTTCGAGGAAATAAAATATTACATTTACTCGCCCTGTTAGAAATTCATTTTCTACGCAATCACAGGAAGGAAAGGAGAGGAGGGGGGAAGGCGCGTGTATTAATAAAGAAAAGAGATGTGAAAGATCGGAGTGAATATGGGACAAGGAAGGTTGGTTGCGGAAGATTGAGAAATTCCTTGAAATTCCGACCGAGATCTCGGATCCGCGTGAAATAAAAACGGTGGAAAGATGAGATCCTTTCAGGACGACAGACTCCATCAGTTGTAACCCGTATCCGGGTGGGATGCCGTTGGAATATTCTTGATTTCTTTTATCCGCTTATCGATGCGAAGAATCGAGGCACAAATCTCGACATTCGCTGTACGCCCGTTCGCTTCGAAAGTTAGAAACCGCGTTCTCGCGCCTGACAACATCCTGTGCTGCCAGCCAACTTCCGTTATCCAAATTTTCGCATAAAGATCGACTTATCCTTCGAAAGGATCTTCGAAAAATTCCATGAAAATCCGATTGTTCGGGGGATGAACGAGTTTCCAATAATCGACCTCCATTTTAAACGAATCGCGTTACACTGTGGATATATTTTATATATTTTGAGGATAAAACTCTCGAAAGTTGTCGAGAGTTATTTATTTGGTGAAATTTATTATCGCGGTTATTATCGTGTTTATTTGTGAAAAAAAAATATCCTAGGCGCGATAATTTTCGAAAGTTTGCTCTAAAATTATAATTTGCACGATCGAGAATGTTGCGCTATGCATTAACAAACGAAACGAGCAATCGAGAGTGTTAATCAAGACCAACAATTGGAAGGATCGACAATTGATCGTGAATGGTATTGGAGCGGGAGAGGTCAATTGTAATTTTGCGACAATGATAATTTAACAGATTGATATTCGCTAATTATGCGGCGTGTGGAAGCGTGCAATTAAATAAGGAAAACTCGAAAAAAAGGAAAAAAAGAAGAAAAATATCGAATTTCGATTCACCAGCTTTTACCATTATGCACGATATATTATATTACATACATCGACCATACATCGCCTCCATTGGAAATACAAAGCAGTCGAATTGCAGAGCGTCACCGGTTCGAAATTACAACGACGTCATATCGCTCATTTGCATCGAAATTTTAACTTAATAACTCGCGGAATCGTGGCCACGTGCAACCACGATCAAGCGACTGTTCAACGTGACGTTGTTCTTTTTATTTTTTTGTCTCGGTTCGTCTGTTTCTTTTTCTTTTTTTTTTTTTTTTTTTTTTTTTTTTTTTTCCCCTCCAGCTTCGTTTTGTTCGTTCTAACCTGTTTCACCGTGACAACTTCGCTTTGTGGATTATCAGATGGATCGCAATCCGTCTTGGACGTTGTACTTCCGCTTCGAGCCCGCGCTCTCGACCCCTTCGTCCTTTTCTTCGTTCCGGTGATATTTTCCGTAAATTGATCGGTATCTAATGAACTCTCAGACTCGGAATTCATCGTCAAAAAACGTTCGAAAACGCGTTTATAATCCGAACTGTTCGATAACGTGGGATCCGTGTAGAAATCGGAAATGGATATAACGAAAGTTTTTTTGACAAAAGAAAATCGGTTTTATCGATTTTTATATATCGTCCATTCTTCTGAAATTTCTTTTCATTTTAACGCGTTTTAAATCGTTTCTCCTAACACTTAGTCCCTTTTTCAATTTTTGTTTAACATTCGTGTTTTAAAATTCGCTTTTTTCTGCGAATTTGCAATTGAAAGAAACTTCGGATCCATTTAAATGTACAACTCACGCCTGAAGGGCAAAATTGCAAAACCGCAATTTTTGAACGTTTCGCGAGAAGTGGTAGGAAGGAGGGATGCGTGGTTAAAATTTCGACCTGATAAAAGTGGCAGAGCATGCAAATATATGCGTGTACTCGGTTAGAATAAACTACTGATACTGTTCGTTTCTGTTTTTCAAAAACATCTCTCTTTTTTTTTTTTTTTTTTTGTTATTTATAACTCGAATTTCGAAATAATAATTGGAATTTTTTGGAACGCGCTTTGTTAGAATATTCGCGCGTAATTTTTTATTACCGAAATTCGAAAAGAAGAATAATACCTGTTCGATTCAATTTCGTCATTTTTTTGGAACGAACTGCGGATCAAAATTTCATACTCTCGACTTAACGAGTCAATGAGAGTTCACACGTTTCTTGCTCGTAGTAAGTTACGAGTTCAGCACGTTTTCCCCGTTTGAAATTGCCAACGTGAAATCGGTGGTGTGTCAAAGCAGTTGACTCGAAGGTAATGTTATTCGATAGGAAAGAGCCAAGTCGGTGCGGTTTCGCGTTTCATCCAATTATCGACCGTTGTCGACGTTGCGTGCTCTCTTCAATCTTTTTTCGAGAGACGCAGAATGACGCAGAGTGATATTTGAACCATTCGAAGATCAAACTGACGAATTCTTGTTTCTAGAAAATAAAACTTTGCTCTAAATTAGAGCATTCGATTGTAATATGTAGTTTTTTTTAGAAATTGAATAAATTGACTTGATGGAGTCGACTTGGCTTTCGATAGATAGTTTAATAGATTTTTGTAATGTTTTTTTTGTTTATTTTGATCATAGGAATTTGGGAGTTACATAACCTCTTTTTACCATTTTCAATCATGTGCAATGTTACCGACTGGGTATGGAACGAGATAGCAACATAAGTAGCGGCCAAAATTAAAACTAAATTTTATTGAAAAATCAAATGATAAAAATATCAACATTCGATACGTACGTATTTTTTTTTTTTTTTTTTTTTTTTTTATTAAGAATTCAATGTGAAACGATAAATATATTACTTATATTTATAATACTTACTATAATAGTTAGAAATATACATGTTAAAAAATAAGAGATTGAAAATACAATCGTGATTTCAACATATTTTTATTTTATTTTATTCACGGTTATAACTTTTTCATTAGAAATTCTTTCACAAAAAATATCCTTTAAGAAATTTAATAATAATATAAAATTAATTATATTAACGTATTATATTAACATGTTAATTAATTACTTAAGAAAAGAAGTCGTAATAATAAACAATTAAAGATTACGATTGTAATACTTAAAAAGGAACATTTAATTTAAAAAGGAAACGAGTTAAAATATCTGAAAAAGAAAATAATAATTAATGAAATGAAATTTATTCGTTTATGTATTAATAAAAGAGCGTGTGACAAAAAAGGATCGTGCCGGAAATTGTAGAATCCCAGAGAATGAAGCCGCCATTCTCTGGAAATCTACATTTATCCTGGCTTCTCACGTCCTTTGCTCAAATACAATAGATATAATATATTTCATATAATAACATAAACAAGAGATTAATTTTGTACAAATATTTCTTATATAAAAATCATGCTCGTCTCTCGGCCACCCATCAAATTTCGCGAATCACGTGGTTCAATCTTTAGCTATTTCCTTTTCGTATTCTTTGCAATAGTCCATCCAGAAAATTGTACCTTACGTTTACAAAGTCCATATCGATCGAAAAAACGAGAATTAATTATGTATTGTTTAATTGCAAAGACGGACGATGGACAAACGCACAAGACATCGATTGGAGACGATCGTCAAACATTAACATCGTTTTCTTGTTTTTTTGTTTTTTTTTTCCCTTTTTCTTTTTCTTTATTTTTTTCCTTTTTTTTTCTTTTTCTTTTTTTTTTTTTTACCTTTTAAATTTACACGATTTATCGGTCACATGAAAATATGATTTTAAACGTTATTCCTCGAGAGGAATTCTGTGTTCGAATCACGACTGAATTATCAAAACTCGAATCAAGATACATTTTACATTATCTTTTTTATACGGATATAACGCTAACGCTTTTTTTCGCTGTTCCAATTCTCTCATGAAATCATCTCCTCTCGTTTCTTTTTTTCTTTAATCAAAAAATTCTGTCCCTATCTGTTGTCCATTTAACTATTTCGATGATTCAATTTTTTTTCTATCTAAAATTGTTTTCGTTGGCTACGAGGAAAGTTTTTTCGCTTTTCTTCTTTTTTTTTTTTTTTTTTTTCTCCAATATTTCTCCTTTGCTGCAACGTGGTCCAATATTCTAGTCAATATTTCGGCGATGTGGTCCAATATTCTATAGGTTTTTAGGAACACCGAAACTCCCAAGGAACGAACAATTTATCTCATTTCGCCCGCGTTTTCTTTGATGAGGGGGCGACAGATCAACTAGTATCGAGAACCTCGATATACCCTGAATTAGCCGGAAGCTGGATGTCGAAAGGCACTGGTTAATAGTAAGGACTAGTCACAACGAGTCTTTAGAAAATCTTTAGACGAAACAATAAAAAATCTCTTTCCGCATCGGTGTTCAGACTCGTTGTGACAAGTCCTTAGAATATCTTTAAAAGATACATCATTCCAAATAACAAAAATCGTCTCTGATCGTTCACAATTCTCGCAAAATCACACTTGGATGAAAACATCCACTCTCATCCTCCCACCCGATCAAAGAATCTCCCGATCTAGAACCAATGCGTTTCGAGATCCATCTTCGCGATCGTCTATCCCTGTCGAGACCAACTGTTATCTGTTGTACACGTATTCAGGGTTGGTGAACACCGTCGCCTTCAACGTGATGGAGGACGACACCTGGGACAACGGGCGATCCTCGGGGGTCGTATTCAGGCTCCTCTTGCGTTTGTCGTGTCTCCACAATTTGTGTAGAGTTAGAGAAGCCTTAGTGTGATACGGTTGGCAGACGGTCCCTCTGGCCGGGGCGTCGTCGGGGCAGAGCCGACACTTGAGCAAATTTCGTTTAGTAAGTTGAAGGCGGTAACGTTCCTTCAACTCGTCCAACTGTTTCTCAGGCGACTTCTTCGACGCCTCGGGGCTCTCTTTTTCTTCTTCTTCTTTTTCCTCTTTCTTCGCTTGCTCCTCCGCCCCTTCGCCCGATTCTTCGATCGAGTCGTCGAAGTCTTGGTTCCAAGTCACCTTCCTCGGCTGGCTCTGCTTCCTCGATCTCTGCCTCACGCCCGGTTTCCTCTCGATGTTTTCGACCGGCCAGACGCAATCGAAGGACGTGGAGGCCCCCGTGGATTGGGAGGAGGGGCCATTGCACTCTTCGGGAACGGCTCGGTAGCTGTGCGCAAAATCACGATTAAGTATAGTGGAAGTGAGGTGATGGTGGTGGTGGTGGTGGTGGTTGTGGTGGTGATTGGTACAACCGGTGCACGGTTCGTCGTCGTGTACTACAACGTCGTGTTGTTGCTCGACGGGGCACGACGACGCGGAAACGGCTCGGGACGAGCCGTGGCCGCGGCTCCGTATCTCGGTTGATCGACGGTGATCGACGTGGTTGGCGTCGTCGTTGGCGTGACGATGGCGACGACGCTGGTCTTGGTCGTGGCCGTGCCCGTCACCGCTCGACCGCCTCTCCTCCTCCAAGGTCGGGTACGCCATTGTCGCTGCAGTTGCAGGGGAGTTTACCATCTCGTGGCTGCAACCACCGCGGCACTGTTCCATAAGTTACGTTCGCGTCATTTTTCTACCAACGAACGAGCGCTCGTCGACCGTGCGACGAGACGACGAGACGACGTTTACTTTTTTTTCTTTTTATCTTTTTCTTTTCTTTTCTTTTCTTTTCTTTTCTTTTCGTTTTTAAGAAGAAAAAGAATGAGAGAGAGAGAGAGAGAGAGAGAGAGAGAGAGAGAGAGAGAGAGAGAGAGAAGAAACAAGTGACAACGAGAGAAGAAACGGAGACAAACTGGAAGTGAAGCGCAGGAGCGTGCACATATACCACACGTGGTCCTGGCGACACCGAAAGCAAACAAACGAAGCGTGCACACGGCGCGAACGGATAGAAAAAAAAAGAAAACGTTGGAACAAAAAATGACGCTGCAACGTAACATAAAGCGGAGAGGTGGAGGGGCGGGAGAGAGCGGTGTCGGAGCGGCAGGTTGTGCAAATCTCGTTTTGCGATCCATCTCTTTCGTTTTACAACAATTTTGCCCTCCTCCTCCCTTCGACGGGAGGGCGAGAATAATCGAGAAGAGAGAAAGGATTAACGTCGTCGCCCTCTGTTTTTTTTTTTTTTTTTGTACATAACAAAATTATGCACGTAACAACCTGCCGCCGAACAACGTCGATCATCGATCGTGTACAATGCTGGAGTTTAAAAAATAGAAAAAAAAAAAAAAAAAGAAAGCAAGCGCAGGAATCGCACTCGCAACTTAAGAGCACATAAAGCGGCGCTAACGACTTCGACTCCTCATTGGATATTTTTTCGTGACCTCGGGGAGGGGGTGATGGTAAGAAATCAAAACGAAACGAATGATTGTCCGTTGTGCCAAAAAAAAGAAAAAAATTTTTTTCAAAGAAACTTGATCGAGTCGAATCGTTCGAATCGATTTTCAAATTATTCCTCGCACAATGGACATTTACAGTTTCGTTCGAGGATCTAGGGTATACGAAATAATGGAATATAAAATATCTTGAATATATATATATGTATACATGTATATAACGCCTGGATCCTCGATAAAACATCAAAATCGCTAGCTAGTGTTCCCGATTTGCCGTCCGGGGGGACAAAACGAGCGAACGAAATGCTAATTTACGAGCAAAATTAGCGTTCGCCGATCGTTGTGCGCAATTGTGTGATTCGCATTTTGTACGGAGAAAGGGGGGAAGGGGAGGGGGGAGGGGAAAAATGAATAAATACAGCTAATAGGAGAGCATGGGAACGACGAGGTCAGCGGATGTGCTTACCCGAGTATCGTTGTCGGTGGTATCACGGTGGTAGCAGGTGCTATGGCCGGTGCTGGGGCTGGAAAAACTGGCGGACCAGGTGGTGGTCGGCCTCCTCCCGCGGGACTGTAAATTCGATAATTAACGATAAATCATCCAGCCTCGTGGTTTATTATCCCTCTATGGGACATTACGTATGAATCACGAATGAATGAAAGAAAAAATATTTCATCTGTGAAGTATGATATAACGAAAAGAAAGAAAGAGTCGGATTGAAGCCTCGATAACTTTTTAACTTCATCTCGAATTTCAAATTTTAATTCGATTCTCTGAATATACAGAAAAGAATCCAGGATAACATCCAAATTTTATTAACGAGAAGATTGTGAGTGAATTAAAATTATACCATTTGTTGGAGAAAAGTATGGTATTTGGAAGAAGATTTTTTCAGAGACGGGGAAAATTTACCCTAATTTTAATATCCAATTCTCCCAAATTACAACATCGCGTGTACCACGATACGATATGTACACACGCGAAAATAAATAAATAATGAAGCAGGCCAAAGAGGTTGGAGGGAAGAAATTGTTAATAACAAATATTTGCTTTGTAACGGGGATCTACAAATGGTTTTCGATGGTAAACACGAGCCGATAAACAAAATTTCCCTTCGACGAACGGATCGACGAAAATGGGATTAATTGGTTAAACGCGTTCGAAGTTTCCCTTCGAAATTCGGCGATGCGGTCGATGGGCTCAAAGACGTGGTTAACGAGCGGGAGGAAACACCGGGCAGGGAGTGACCGTACGAAATTTAAATCCGCTCGTTACACACTTGTTTGCCCCGGGGTAACGCGACCGAAAAAGTAACGGGAGCGTGGATTAATCGCGTCCGATCGACTTCCAATTAAATCGTATTTAATGAATTTTCCCGATTGCCGCACGACTCCCGGCCGTGTCGAACCACCGAGCTAAACACATACACACACGCTCGAGTCCGCTCGAATTCGTCGAGTTTTGGGACACGGGGTGGAAAGCTCTCTTTCTCCGGCGCTCGGTCAACGGAGCGTGAAGAAAAATGTTGCGCGAGAAATGTTGTTGGCCGAATTTTCCAAGTTAAGCGGGTTGCTCGAGTTATACGTTTTCCGTGTCGTTCGACACGGTTTGCAAGCCAATTGGAATGAAATGAATCGGAAGATGAAAAAAAGGAACGAGCTCGTTGGGCAGAGTGTAGTTTGAATTGGTTCCACGCCCGGAACAATTGCGTACAAATTGTTTAACTGAGTGAGAAACGCGTTTTACACGCTAGAAAAAGAATGTGAGAATTAAAGAGAAATTTTTTTGATTTAAATCCTAATAAATTACTTAACTTATCTGAGGATTGTATCGAACATTTTAAAGATCAAACTGACGCGTGCAACTAGGAGAGGGAGGAAAGCGTTCGATTCAATTTTCTCAACATTTGACGAATAACTTTTTGAAACTTTTTGAGAATATCGTTATTATACAATTCCTATGGAATTTCTGTTTCAGAGAGAGAAATCTATGAGATCGATAAATTAACAAGACGCTTACTGTAAAGGTTGCTGATGACGATTGGTCGGTGGTGGAGCAGCTTGGGCCGTGGAGGACGCGGGTGCGTTGGCACTGCTGACGCGATGCACATGCAGCTGGTGCATCTGAAGCTGTGCCGCATCTTCGCCAAGGAACGAGCATCTTGAGCATTGTCGTCTGTTGTGCACCTTCAACACGTGGGTGGCTAGTCGCTCGGCGCGTGCGGCCTTGTACTCGCACAAGGTGCACGCGAACGGTTTCAGATGCGTGTTCAAGTGCCGTTTAAGGCACCAGTTGTCTACGCCACTCCAAGAACAATAGCAGCAGGTGTACCTGAAAATTTGTAACCGTATTAACCGACTCGATCCCAACAACCATTCCAAATTAAACTATTTTCAAACTCGACGTTCTCCAACAACATCGATGTACGCCCCTTAAAAATTTATCAAAAAAATATATATATATAGTAATAATCGACAGACTGATAAATTTGAAATTTGAAATTAAGAAACAAATAATTTCTTTTTTATCTTGATCCTTGATATAATACGTTATTATCCTATCTAATTTTCCAATCCATTCCAACTTATCTATAAAAATATACATATATATATATAAATTTGCAAACGACTACTCTCCCTTAATTTAACTTAATCCTTTGCACTCCTGTTTCGCTCGATCGAACCAACAGACTCAGACGCGCGTTCGGTGCGTTCGGTGTGGCCTCATAAGATTACCATAAGATAACTACTCATAAGATAAGATTATACGTAAAGAGCTTAGGAACCTATTTGTGAATATATTTTAAAAAAATCAAACATAAATAAATATTGTCGCCGCAACAAAATCCCAATAGTGCCGAAGAGTGAACACTGGAGTTACGGCATTAACTCGAGTGGTGACCGAGAGTCACCGTTGAAGAGCAAAGGGTTAACTCAACTTAACTCTCGTTTAAACGTAATTTCACTTCGCAGTTACAAAGAATTGGCTCACCTCCGCTCCTGGGCCCCTTTCGATCCTCCCTTGAGATGGCTCTTGCTGTTGCAGCCCCCGTTCTGCACCCTCCTCCCTGTAGCACTGCAACTCGCGGCATCCGGTTGCATGATGCCTGGGGCAGGCATCGACGTTCCTTGGTAAATCGCGGCGACCGCAGCGGCAGAACTCGGCTGCAACTGGTAACTCTTGCTGGTATTAAACCCTGAATAAGTCGCGTGCTGCGGCTGCGGCTGCTGCTGCGGCTGCGGCTGCTGCTGCGGCTGCTGCTGTTGCTGTTGCTGTTGCTGTCCGTTCGCGCTCGTGCTTGCGCCGCTCCCCGTTCCGGACTCTTGCTGAAGGGGCTTGGGCGCCGTCGATCCCGCCGGTCTCCGTATCCTGGACAACTCGTATCCGTGCTCCCGGTGCATCCTCAAGAAGTGTTTCTTCACGTGGTCGGCGCGATTGAACGGTTTGTAACATATGTAACAGTGGAACGGCTTCTCCTCGCGGTGGATGTTCTCGTGTCTCGTGTACAGATCCCGGCGATCCGTTCCGTACGGGCAATACGGACAGGTGTAACGCTTTCCGCTCGCCGATACCGATGCCGACGTAGGTGTCATTGTTGTGGCGTTCTGTGAAGCGATTTTTCGGTTTTTTTTTTTTTTTCTTTCTTTTTAATTTTTTCTTCTTTCGCTTCCCTTCTCAAAAGATTTCAATGGGTTTCATGATTATCTTAATGATCGTTTTCTAACAATAGGATAGTTTTCTGTTTCAGGTTGAACGGTTGAATGGAATCCTTGGAGGGAAAGGAAGAAGGACGATTGATGGGCTTGACGCGTGTCGGAAGTGAATGACCAGGACCGGAAAATCGGAATAAAATTCCAAGGGATATCGATTCGATTGGATTGGTGTTCGTAAAAGTTTTACGAAAATAAAATGTTAAAATTGGAATTATTAAGATTAAAAAATCTATCTCTATTATTATAAAATCACTATTTATAAATATCACTTGTAAGTTGATGGATTGATAATTTGTTCGAAAATGGATGAAATGTATCACTTTCGTAAAAGTTTTTACGAAAATAAAATGTTAAAATTGGAATTATTAAGATTAAAAAAAATGTATCTCGCTGTTTATAAATATCACTTGCAATTTGATGGATTGATAATTTAATTTGTTCGAAAATGGATTAAATGTATCACTCGCGAGGCAAGTCTCGATATATAAAGCACAAATCCACAATTTGAAAATAAGTACCCGCACGTAATATGGAAAAAATGAAAAAAATTTAAAAAAAAAAAAATAAAAACGTAATCAATCACTGTTTCTTTTTTTTTTTTTTTTCAATTTAATCCACAATCGTCTTCGTCGAACGACAATATTTCACGTAAAATATTTCATATAAAATAATCACGTTTTTTTTTTTAAATAATCTTCGTTTGGAAGAATATTTTCACGAAAATTAACAACAATGTTCACCACGAAAAGCGTGCAAATATCACCGTTTAAGAGTTAAAGTTTGGGACCTGATGATTTACCTGGTGCAAGTGTTGAGGTGCAGGAGCGGATGGCAATTCTTGCAACAGGAAGGTGGAAGGTACCGGTAGCAAAGCTGCGGGCACTGTCTGCGTTTCTTGAGTTCTTCTTGACGGAGGAGCGCTTCTTTCTGCCCTTTCTCGCAACCTCTCCAAATAAGATATCACGTCTTCCACTTTCAACTCTGTCTGCAAATAGTCTTTGCGCGGCGAGTGATGTCTGTTCCTTTCGTCAGCGAGGATCCTCGATGAATGAAGTTCCATGAAATGTTCTGCAACGTCGCGAGGCCCACCACCCATCACGTCCCCTGCTTCGTCAAATGCTATTCGTCAATTTTCACAAAAGCCTGAAAATTTATGGGGAAAGATGGGGATGGCGGGGGAAAAGATGGCCCCTGATTTGGCCAGAAGTATATTATACTTACAGTACTTACGGTGTTATTACTTCAACGCTGTGTATACCTGTGACCCCCTTCCCCTCCCCTTCCCCCTCCCCATTCCTCCCGTCTACCTACCTAGTTGTTTATTGCTTCTACGGATTATTTACTTTGTTAAACTTACTAAGTCAGAAAGACTTTATTTTTCAACAAATATTACAAATATTGCAAAGCTACCAATCTTCTGAATATATTAAAAATCTTTTGGAAATAAATGGAAAAATTAAAGATTTAAAAAAAAAAATTCGAATCTGTATCGTTGTTATGATATAATTTCGATTTTTATTAATAAATTTCAAACAATTTTATATTTTATATTTTCCAAGATCGACATTAGGGTTGAAATATTTTAACCCCAATGTAATGAATAATGTAGACTTTTTTTTCTATAAATTTTGGATTTTACTCGTTTCAACGGTATTTCTAGAAATAATAAATAAATTGTGATTGCAGGCTTGGACCGCAGGCATATATAACGTGTAAGAGAAAATTCATCCGTAGCACAAGCAAATATATCGAAAATTAAGGCGATAGATAAAAGAAAAAGTTGTTTAAAATTTTCTTCTCTACGATATATATATATATATACCAAAATCAGAAATCGACAAGGACCGCGAATAATTAAAATTAATATAAAAAAAATAACGAGGCAAAAGGACGAAATCTTTATTATAGATATTAATTTTCGAATTGATACACGACGAAACGATATCAGTGTGAAACTCTCCTTAAGCTAATGAAATTCGCGTAGAAACATGGGACGATCCCTCGATAGCGTCGTCAAACGTGACACTCGGTGGACACAAAGCCGATAATGAACGAGCTTAAGGATATTAGGGACGAAGCATGTCTGCACGCAAGGACGGAGAAAGGTGGTAGAAAGTATTGGAGAGGTATTATTTCACACGAGAATTTGCATTTGCATGGCACAACAAGGTAATAAAAGCTTGAAAATTACCGGGAAAATGCTGTCTCAGGGGTAATAAAAGCTACTTCTTTTGTTCGAAAGAAATTTTACCGACTTAACATTGAACTGTTTAACTGTTTTTCGCGTTTAATTGTTTTTTCAGTTTTCCTTCGTGTTTACTTATTATATTTTATATTATTATATCATTATTATTATTTAAAATTTTTTTCAACAATGCGATTCGTAATTACAACGTAACGTAAAGATTTTTACTTACTTTTTACGCTTACATGATTCGGCGAAAAATTCAGAGAAATCTGAACGGAAACAATTTTATCGGAGACGGCGGTTCAATACGGTTTCGACAAATTTTCGTAACGCAATGCCGTTTACACGTTACACATATTTATATAAACAAGATGATTCAATTTTTTTGTTTATCGACGAGATCGGCGAACGACATTTAGCTTAGTAAACACGGGAAAACGGACAGTTGTGTTCGATTTTAATTATATTTAAAATAATCAAAATTGAATCGAAAAAATATAAATAACGGCAAGGTGACTAAGTCGATTTCGATTAAAACAATTCAAGTAAACATTGTAAAAGAATATTCGTATTCGTGTTCGTTATACTTGGACGATAATCAAACCAACTCCTTTTATGAATCATCCCAAAGTTTCTCGAATTCGTATAATTTAAACAACGATTTAAACGTCGATTTTTCTTGCATTGAATTCGAACATATAGGATCGTGGTTAAAAATTAAACTCGAGCCTTAAAAGCCTCGAGTCGATCGATAAAAAAATCATAATAAATATGATACGAACCGCATTCATAACACCTCCATGTTGCTTTTCCAGCGTGATAAGCAGCAATACGACTTCCATCGGTTCCTTTCAATGGTTCCTCCTCGCAAGTCCAGTTCCCGTCGTCGCTACCATCGGTCCCGTTTCCGGTGTCCTCCTCGGTCTTGTACGAAACGGAAGTCTCAAACTCGTTCTGAACGCTCGAGGCTACGATAAACGAACTAGCTAAGTTTCGTTCCACCGTGAAATTTCATTTTCGTGTATACCATGGCGAGCGTGTTTTCCACACGGATGCCATTGCTTTTCCGTATATATATAAAATAATGTTTCGTTACGCGAGGCAGAAAGAGCATCATTATATCGTTTAAAGTGGTGTAGAAATTATTTATCACAGTCTGGTTAATATTCATACTTCGTAATTACTTCGTTCGTATATTAGCTTTTAACTGCCGTAATAACGTGTATAAAATGTGAATCAAACTTTTACGTACAAGATGTTCTATTTTTTTTTTTTTTTTTTTTTTTTTATAATTTTTAACCATCATTGAAAATGGTTTCGAAAAAGCGAGTCGAGTAAATGTTAAATAATTTACGGAACGTTGCTTCAATCCATATTTCACGAAATATTCGTGCAAAAAAGAAAGAGAGACGGATATAAGAATTTATCATTTTTCTATCCGGTTTGTCGGCATACTTTTCGAGATATATACTTTATAATCAATTTGATCAGCTCTTCTTTCCTTTCTCATAAAAGAAAAAAGAAAAAAAAAAAAAAAAAAAAAAAAAACATTTCGCTGCAAATTAATTCACTCACTTCTGTGATCGGGATCCTCGCCGTACAATTTCCTGGTTATCTCTTTAAACATATCCTCGTAGCAGTCGAGCCTGCTAATTCCCGTGCCGCTACCCTCCATCTTCCGAGCCCTCGTCGGTCACCCACTATCCTCGGAAGAATAAACCCACGTCTACCTGGGAACCGAAATGAGTCGGCGGGTAAGTCGGATTGTAACTAATAATCACGGACGAAAAATGCATTTCTCCCTTTCTTTTCAAAAACATTTTCACTCTCTTTCCCCGTATTTCTGACAACAACAGGTCAACTTTCGACCACCGTTATTTCTTTCCTTCCACTCTCTTTCTTTTCCGCTCGTTTACGAGGGGTTGGGGAGGGGGGGGGGGGGGGTTCCTTTTTTTATTTTCTTTTTTGTTTTTTTTAGGAATCGTTTCATGAAGGGTGGATCGACGACGATGAGGTCTAATTGGCTCATCGAAGCTTAATTAAATCTTGTCGAGGCGCTTCCCTTAATCCACGCGACTTAACTTTACGCTGACCGGCTTAAGTGGCCCATTTGCATAAACGATGGAGATATTTCAGTGTTTGAGGGGAAAGGAGGATAATTTGGCAAATATTTTAACACGTGTTTTTCTGTGAGAGCGTTTTGTGTGTCACGCGGCGTGAGTCATTTAAGACTAGAAATTGAAATATTTTCATAATTCTTTTATTTCGCGTAGAAAAATTTTGAAGGCGGAAATTCATTTCAAATTCATTTTAAATGAGATTTCATCTTTATACGTTTCTACTACTGTTCTGTAAAGAAAATTAGAAACGAAATAAGAATTATTTTTAAAATGATTTTTATTCAAATTTTTTTCATAATTTTTATTCAATAATAATATTGTTTGTAAAAAGATATTTCCGTATGCAAAAAATAAAAATGGATGGTTTTTATAATTGTTGAGAGAGAAAACAAAGTTAAAAGGAAAATTTGGAATTTTCATCGAAAATATCGGTTCGTGAATGGAGTGCTTTACCGGGTAAACTGGTTGGTAAATACAGTTTGAATAGAGTCGTTCTTCATGCTAAGTGGAGACGTATCATCGATTTGCTCAGTGGATTTATGGAAGTGTTCGAGGATGACGTATGAAATATCGTTTCTCATCAGCATTCAATTTTTCAAAAAAATTCGAAAAAAAAAAAGTAAAGATACGACATTCGATGATCGGATATTTCGGACATCCATTTTTTAAACATTCTTTCTCTGTTTAAAATCAAAACGACAAATTAAAAACGAGCAATTTTTTCGAATTAAATCTAAAAATTATTCTTCGCTAAATATTTATTTACGTTGACCAATATAATCTTTTTAATCGACAAATAAAGTATTTATATCTTCTCATTTGAAAGAATGTAAAACATAGAAAATTTAAAAAAAAAAGAAAAAGTTGCAGCAACAAAGTTATATTGAACAATTTTTACATCGAGCTAAATTCACGTGATACATTTTTTCTTTTTTTTTTTTTTTTTTTTAGAAAATCTACCTCGTTCCCCTACCTTCTTATCTTGTATATATTCAGCTGCAAAGCGATTAAAAAACATCTTGTTGCAAAGCTACTTTCTATTTTGGTGCACTTGAAAAATCGATTCATTCTATCGGAAAACGTCGTGAACAAATGGAACCAGTGTGATTGGTGCTCAAACCACATAGAAAAATGCTTTGTAATGCTGCATCGGGTTATGCAATTAATAATACGATGTTACGAATAATATTTCATTCTGATACACTTTCTCTTGCAACAAGTTTCTAATTAAAGTTTTCTCACATTCAAATTTTCCAAAATTTGTTTCGTAATTTCATGAATTCGTTTTCCAAATTTTTGTCAAAAAAAAAAAAAAATAGAATTCCCGATTATCAAAAGACTTTAAAACTTTGTAAAATTTATAAAGATTCGTCAGAAATTCGCTAAAAAATAAATTATGAATTAAATCTTCTCTCTTTTATTTTCTCTTATTTTCTTATTTGTTATAGATTATTATGGAGCCCTGACAATTTTTCATCAGTTATTCGAATAATCCTAATTCGATTAGGAGCCGTGCATTTTTCCACGATTCATAAAATTAAAAACTTTATATTTAGAATCTTGTAATAATCCTTTCAAATAAATTTGAACAAAATATTTTCGTCGATATTTCCGATATTAAAAATTATCTTCGAGGTAATAAAATAAAAAACGCAAAGGAGAACAATTCAAGAGGATATTTTTCGTGGAAGATAAGATCGAAGATAAAATTACGAAACATGGGAAGAAATGTATAATAATAAATGGCCATTTCACGGCGAAATGAAAATTCTAGTGCCAAGTCTGGTAATGTGTATTAACTGTAAACCCATCGAAACCGATCGTCGGTTGAAAGCAAACGAGACAATAGCAATTCCAGTGAAAGACATTCTGGCTGCGTTCGAACGTAAATACAGGGTTAATGCGAGGCAGGAAATCGTGGCTGGTGTTCCAGCACGATGACAGGAACCCGGTGGCAATGCGGAACTCCGTATCGGAAGCGTTAACGAGTTCTCTCCCCGGAGGTGGAGATGGCACGATGAAATTAGAATCGAGGTTGTTACAGGCCGTTTAGAAGGCGGTGATCGTCGTCACGGATTTTCAATTAGACCCACTTAGAAATCAAGCGTGAAGATACGGGATAATTATTATGCACGCTTCTTCCATACGGGTGCTTTACTTTTTGCAAGAATCTCTCCCGAGAGATGAATTCCGCTTGCCTCTGTGAGTGCTCTGTATTTTGAAACGGGAATTTTTTTTTTGATAAAGGATAATTATGAAGGCAATTCTTTGTGAATCTTTGAAAATTGTTTTTTTTTTGTTTTTGTTCTTGAAAATTTTTAAGGAAGATGAAATATTAAAGGAACGTTAGAAAATGTTTATCGTCTCCTGGAAAGCTAAACTGTTTTGGAATTTTAAGGAAAGATAAGTAGAGAATAGAGAAACTACCGTCTCTATGAATTTTTTAATTCCTTCTTTTCTCCGTTCTTCTAACGTCACAGAGAGGAAGTGAACTCAATGGTGTTTGTCAATTTTCAAAGAATTGCGGAGAAAAATTCAATTTCCTATACAAAAGAATTTTTAATATTCCTCTTTCCTTCTTTTTTTTTTCTCTCCTCCCCTGAATGTCAATTTCCAAAGGAATCCTCGAGAGGTTTTGAAGAACATTGGAGAGCAACTCGGCATATTTCGTTGTATCGGTACATTCCTTTGGGAAGGAATCGCAATAGATGGAGGAGGAACGAGGAGCAATTGCGAACGCGGTTCGAGGATCTCGAGAAACTGGATCGAAGTTAAGACCACTTTACAATTCGTTCAAACGTGAGCAGTCTTAAACTCTTCTTCCCGAGGACTCGAGGAGGGTTGAAAAATCCGACTCCGTGTTACCGGTTGTTAAATATTCATGAACCGGGAAATCTTTCGCCTTTGAAGCAGTGTCACAATTTAGAAAGTTGACTCGAAAAAGAGGTATTGATTTTCACTTAGAACTGGAACAAAAGCGAAAATCTTCGTTTCCATTCACGCGACAGGAACGACATCTCTTCCGTTTGAAAAGAAACACCACTCAAATTTTTGGTTCAACTTCTTCAAAGGATAACAATTCTTTATAAAGGTGAGGAAAAATTGAGGGGAAAAAATTGGAAAGAAATAAAGGGAATATAGAAGGGTTGAAAATTTTATTAAACTATCCAGAAGGAAGAAAGATAATGAAAGAGGTAACAATCTTTCCAAGTATCGCAAAGAAATCGGTCGGTATTAATTACGCGATTACCTAGTCACTGGTGGAAAAGAGCGGAACGTAATTAGATAAAACACGATCGATTGATGCCAATTCTATTTGCCACCCTTCAAGCACAAGGGGAAGGTCGATCGTTGGAAGGGATCGCTTGAAAGCAATCGAGCATAAAGACGAGCAGTTCTTCATCGAGACGAGTCCCATTGTGCTCGATGAAACCAAGGATGTCACGAGCAACTCCTTCAATCTTATTCAAACCCCTTTTCTGTAAAGGCACGACCACGCTGAGATTCCCACAGGAGCGTAAATACTTTCAAACAGAAAAATCTTGGTAGAAAAGCTCGACCTCGAGGGGAGGAAAAAAACCATCGGCCACACGGTTTATCGAAAGCAAAACTGTTCTTAACCAATCCAGACGTTCAACAGACCTCTTTTCCTCCCCAAATGCAAACAGCTAGAACGACTACTTACCACCTACTGCTCCAAACTTTCAACGTTATCCTCCTTACCGATTTACCGATGTCTATTTAAGCGCACTCGCGCCGATTAAGAGTACTTGTACTTTTACCGATCGATTTTTCCCATCGATCGGTAAAAAAAAAAAAGGATTATCAATTTTTATCTTTCGATCGTATCTTCCGATATTCTAAGCCCGAATTGTCGACGAAGAATAAACAAATTTTTCGAAACCATTTTTAAAAATAAAAAGATATTTCATTGATGCAAAATTGTGCATCAACTGTTAAAAGAAATTGTTACTTTCAACGTATATCCACGCATATATATATATATATAATCCAAACAATTGGAGAGAGTTGTTCCGATCATTAACCAAAGACTGTTAACCCGATAAATCGCCCCACCCCGAAGCGCGAATAAATTACCCACCACCCAAAGAGTATTGTAGCGCTTTCGAGAAGCAACACATTCCAGAAGGGAACGAAATCAATCCGTGAGCAACGCGTAACGCGGCTCGTTAGTCAACCGATCGACTCCGGGGTGGGAGGCGGTCGACCGTCAATCGAACTGGATCCCCCACCCTCCCGACGAGAGATCGATCGATTTCGATCCTGGCGGCGACGTAACGCAAACTTTTCAGTCAGGGATGACCGGAATGAGGAAGAAGAAGAAGAAGAAGAAGAAGAAGAAGGCTGACCTGTGTATTGATCGAGCCGCCGCGTGAGCGGAAAACTCGCAGGGGGAGCGAGAGAGAGGAAGAGAAACGAGCAAAGGAGGAGGGAGAAAGACGGGGTGCACCTCTGGCGAACCCTAGCCGAGGTTACCCACTCGTACATACATACATCCTCGTTGGTACGAGGTGGCACACACGCGTGCAGGGCAGGTTTCAGTGCTCGCACAGGGGTGGTGGCGTTAGAACGTTCTCGCGGCGTGGAAGGGGTTAAACCGGCGACGAATAAATCAATATTCCCCTCCGGAGCGATCGAGGACACGTCCCGGAGGCGACAGATGGCGAGGGTGCCTTGTCTAGCCTCGTGTTCGAGTCTCTGCGCCGGTTGAGCGCCACTGTCTCCGAAGAAAACCTAAGCTTGGTGGGGAGAGAGATGCGGGTGGGTAGAGAGTTCTGTAGGATATATATACAACGAGGGAACGAACAGAGTGGAAGAAAAGAAAGAAGAGGAAAAGGTGGTGAGCGAGAGAGAGAGAAGTAACCTCGGGGAGTAGGAGCACGGAGCGAGATCGAGATAGCGTGAGACCGTGGAGGGGCGTCGGGAGGTGGTGGGAGAGAGAAGAAGAAGTGGTGGGGGTAGAGAAGGCGCGCGCAGTGTGCCATTCAAATTCATCCGGAAATTATTACCGACTAACCAAGGACGGCGAGCGCGCCACTCCTCCATGCATGCGCGCGTACATACGGGCGCACACAGCGATTTATAAATACACAGCGGTGTCTGTATAGCACTTTGGAAGACACGGTAGCCGCGACGAGACACGTAACCGACGCGTAGCTGAATTTCGATCGTAATCGAGGAATTCCTCCCGGTTGGATCACCGCTCCTCTTCTGGCCTTCGTTGCGAGAACGTTGCGGGAACGTCTGTTCGATCTCTGATGTTGCACGATCGTGCGCCATCGTAGAAGCGCGCATAGACGGGACACACGCGAGAAAGAATCGACGTAGTCCGACGTAGCGCGAGCGGGACACGCACACGCGATGCATTCTCTTCTCGGTTCACTCGTACGCGTACCGTGCACCGTGACGCGAGACTAGCACGATCCACTCGCGCGCGAGCCAGCGTCGTACGCGCGTTCCCTCGTCCCCCTGGTGCGGAGTTGGAATATACACGCACTCGGAACAAAGTTTTTCGAGCTGGCTGCGCGAGGACGCTGTCTTCTCGGCGACCATGTATAACCGTACAACTTTGTCTCGCGATGCACACACGATACGCACACACGTTCCCTCTCACGTTCCGCGGCTCTATTCGCGTCACGCTCCTCACGTCACTCTGTCGTCACTCTTGCTCTTCGATCGATCGTCGTCGTCGCTCCTCGGGTTCCGTCCATTCGTTTCGATTCGATTTATTCGTGGCACGCTACTGTAACGTGTAACGCGGAATAGAATCGAGAGCGCATCGAGGAGGAAAAAAATTCTGGATGGGGACAAAAAGGAAAAAAAGGAGGAAAGCTTGCGGAAGATCGGGATCCCGTGGTTATTGGTCGTTCGTTGAGAGTGGAACGAGCGGAAGAAAGAAGGACGGGAACGGAAGGAGGAGAGAAAGACGCGGAATGGGGGGGTCCCGTGTGCAAGGGAAAAATTGAGGCGCGCGCGAACGAGTTCATCGAGTAGGAGAACGACGAAGAAGAAGAAGAAGAAGGAGAAGGAGAAGGAGAGGAGGAAGAAGAAGAAGAAGAAAGAGAAAAAAGATGAAGACACCAGAGGTTGAAGATACGTGTGCGTGCACGAGAATACTCACTTGGGTTTTGTCGGCGGTGTGACGAGAACTCGGGACGTGCCTCGATGGAAATTCGTTGTTCGAGGAAACGTTGTGCTGGTTCGGTTGCAGGTTGTTTCCTCGACGGCAGTCGGGTGGCGAGTGGGTGGGCAGGCGGGGTGGCAGGCGGACAGAAGTGGGTGGTGCGGGTGGGTTGGGAGCTAGCGGCGTGTGGGTGGTGGGAGTGGGGTGAGGGAACCCAATACCACCCTCCTCGCCCATTCAATCCTGCAGTATTAGGGGGAGCAGTCGAGCCTGTTTCCTCCCCTCCCTCCCACCCTTCCTCCCACCCTCCTCCTCCTCCTCCTCCTCCTCCTCCACCCTCCTCCTCTTTCGGCCTCCGTCTCCGTCTCCCTCTCTCTCCCTCTCTTTCTCACTCTGCAGCATATATCCAGCACAGGCAGAGAAACGTCTAGGACGACGAGGATGATGTCGGAGTCGACGACGGATCGTTGCACGCGTGTTGGTGCTTACTTTGAACGGTGTGGAGGCGTCCACGCATGTTTGCGTGCGTCTGTGGTCTTTACTCTCTGCCCGCCTGGACTCTCTTCCTTCTTCTGCTACACGCACACGCAGCCAGCCGAACCGAACCTCCCTGCACACGTGTTCACGACGCAGCAGTCTCTCTGCCGGTCGAGGGGCGGATTCGTTGGGGTGGGAGGAGAATTTACGGAGGCCTTTTCGAGGTCCTTGCCGAGGGAACCTTTCCTCGGAAGGATCTGGAACATTGGGTCTTCTCGCAGACCTGTGTTTTCGAACGAGCTTTATGGAACCGTTGGATAGAGAGAACGTTTCCGAGGGGATGACGGAAGTCGATCGCCAAATGCTCGTATATCCTTGGCAGAAACAAGGGTACGGTTATGCTGTTGTTTTTCGTTTGGGCCGAGAGAAGTTTTTGGCCGTTTCTCATTCAATGCCCTCCCCCTCCCTTTCTCCCACCCTCCTCCTCTTCCCCTCTCTTTCAGTCAGAGAAAAGATTGGGCGATTTATAAAAAGAAAAAAAAAAAAAAGAAACGCGATGTCGTAGATTATTAGATATTGGAAATGGTAAGTGGGAATGAGAAAAAAAAGAGTATGATTCTACTGAACGAAAGTTTTTATTTTTTAAAATGGAATTTTTTTGTAGGGAAGTGGGAAAAATTAAAAGGTCAAAGGGTGGAAGATCGAAGCACCCAAGTTTAAAACATATATCGATATAGTTGAATTTTGGAGGGTTTTCTATTTATAGAAAAATTTAATACACGAGTATTCTATTGATCTTTAAAAATTAATTCAGTTTGAATTCATATTTAAACATCGTAGTATAAAATTATTTTCTTTCTTCGAATAAAGAGTTTACATTTTCCATAATGATTTTACAGAAATTATAGCAAAAAGAAGTACTAATTTAAAACAATTGTGCAAGGAAATTTCCTATTAATTTGAAATGCTAATTTTATGAATTTATCGTTAAGAAAAGTTTAATTTTAAGACACAAAGGAATCGGATAATTGAAAGAAGTAGCATATTATTTCTTAAATTATATCATACTAATTTCACGTATATCGAGAAATGATATACAGATATCTCTATTATCGATAAGAATGAAAACAGAGATATTTCTACATCGATAATATTGTTTCTTTGCAAAATTAAGTTCTCCGATGTCAGATGTCACTAGCTTCGATCGCGAATGATTCGTACAACTTTACCATACGAGTTCGGATCAATTTTGCGAATAAGAAAAATTGGGGATGAATTCGACGAGTGTAGTTTTCCGAAATAAATTCGAATTATTTTTAATTATGAATCAGAATTGTTATTACAGACGATTAATATATTTAGAAATATATATTTACGTTTCCAATTTCGTTGGAGTAATAAAATAAATATTTCATCTCTACCACCTTTTCATCCATTTATTTCCTGTTATTTTAATTATTTTAGATTTCCAAAAACTATTAATATACAAAAGTAAGTATTTTTTTTTTTTGTTTAAATATTAAATTCAATAAGCTCTAATCTCATAGAAAATTTTATTTTTTGTGAATATACAGAAAATAACTTTTTTTTTAGAAACAATCTTTTTATTAAATTTACGTTTTATAAGGAATAAATAACCGTATTTCGTTATTATTTGTACAAATTTATTTTTATGAAAAGAGACTTCGTTCCAAAAAAAAAAAAAAAGGAAAGAAATAAAAAAGAGATCCAAATGAACCTTGTTTTCTAGGAATGCAAGAGCAAAAACGATAAGACCGTAAAATACATTTCGTCGACGTCAAAGCTTTACGTCATCCCGTGGTATGGCACGTGGTACGCGTCATCGCTTATTATTCTCAAACAGATCACATGCGTATTGTTGCGCACGAACTATGAGAGAAACAGCACCTGTTACAGTCATCCATAATAAAACTTCCGTACTTGCGAATATCTTCTCTTCGATCAACAATCGGCTTAGAGAAAATAAAACTACTAAAAAGAAAAGAAAAGAAAATTACAAAAACAAGAAACTTTAAAAGAGATAAAAAACTAATATTAAATCTGATTTCAACACCAACAACTCCTTCCAAACTGTTGAATAAAAAAAAGTAAATCCCAGGATGATCAATTAACACTATACTTCTCTTTCACTCGATATTTTACTCGACTCTCCTTCAAAACCATTAAATCCATCATTACGTACTATTTCACCAGTTAGATCCTCCTCTCAACGGTTGAACCACAAAGAAACTCTTTCAACTGGGATTCCCCGAAATAATCGGATAAAAATCGTCCGTAGGATTCTCACAGGCTCATTGACACCGCTCCCTTCCCCACCTCCCTTCCTCCCCCCTTCCCCCCTCCTCCCCCGCCCAACCACCGAAAGGACACGCGTCTTCGTGAACGAGAGAGAAGGAGTCGAAAAGGAGTCCATCAGCGGGTCGTTCGCACGCACGAAGGGTCGCGAGCACGAAGCGAAACACGGCCGGGCTGCGTCGGCGTCGGCGTGGCGGTGGCGCGGCGGTTAGGTCCGCGTCGCGGCGCCTCGCGTCAGCGTCGCTGAGACCGTCGAGGACGGAGGCAACGACAGTGGTGGGCAAACGCATCGCGTCATCCGCCATATTGGCCGCGAGGAACCCGTTCAAACAGCGCGTGAGAAGGGAAAAGGGACAAAGTCGAGGGCCGCTCTCTCGCGTAGACCTCTCGCCAGAGACCCGGCCCGATCGTGGGGGTGAGAAACGAGGGCGTATGTAGCCAGCAGAGAGCTCTGTTCGCGGCTCTCTGGCCGATCTCCGTCTCGCGCGCGCGCGCGTGTGTGTACGTGTTTGCGCGTGTATGCGTGGTTCTCTACCGTGTATGCGCGAGAACTGCCGAGGGTAGTAGTAGTGGTGGTAGTAGCGGTAGTGGTGGTGGAGAGAAGGAAGAGGGCAATCGCGTCGTCGGATACATACGCGCCGTGAGATACGCCTCGAACGTTTTCCACCGCCGCTGCACGGTGGAAACGAACACTTTAGGGTGAAAGACGGCCCGTTGAGTGGGACAGAGACGGACAGGGAGGGGAGGAGGGGTTGAGGGGGAAAGGGGAAGGGAACGAAGAGGGACGACAGAAGGAAGGAAGAGAGAGGCTGGAAGGAAGTAGAGTGTTTCTCTGTGTGCGTGAGTGTGTGTGTGTGTGTGTGTGTGTGTCTATGTGCGTATGTGTGTGATAGTGGCTGGGAAAGTGCGAAGCGTAAAAAGTGTCCCTTGCCTCGGGCCGATGTGGTGTGGTGGTTGCTACGTAGTGTAACCACCCTTGGCCTACACCCCCATCCAGCTCGAAGGAACTCGGTCATCCCTTCCTGTTTTTTTCTTTTTCTTTCTTCTTCTTTTCCTTTTTTTCCCCCCCCCCCTCTCCTTCGTTTCCTCCTCGTCCCTTGGCTCGTCCACACCGACGACCCGCGAGTGGGACGTTATCTCGTGGGGGTCTTCTCGAGTGTCTGTTTTCCGTCTAGTTTCGCACGAGCGGTATCAATGAACAGAACACGCGTGCACGGGTTCAGTGACATCGTTGGTCGAGCCCGTTAGCCGCCAATCGATTCGACCGGTTGAACAAACTTATCGCGGTTCATTATCGGGTAGGGAGAGGGAATTCGGATTCGAAAGGGAATTCGTTCCGGCTTATATTCCGTGTACGTGTGTACGAGGAGGATCCTCGAGAGGTTGGAACGTTAGCAGGTTAGCTGGTCGGTATCCAACGTGACAGCGCCGTGGGCTCGTCTCTCCCTCTGGTCTCGACTTCTGCCAATCAATAACCAGCGCGCACCGACTCGTTCGCGCTCTGCTCTCTCTCTTTCTCTCTCTCTCTCTCTCTCTCTCTCTCTTCTCTCTTCTCTCTGTCTGCCTTCCTCTCCCTTCTCTCTCTCTCTCTCGCTAATTCTATCCGTTTCCCTCGTTTCTCTCCGTGTAACCCAGTCGTTGGTTCGTCCGAGACGAGACGAAACGAAACGAAACGATCAGCGAACCGATTCGTACGTGGCTCCTCGAGAAAATAGCGGAGACGCGTGATTACTTATTATTATTATTATTATTATTTAGAGAACGGTGATTGGGTTCGGGCGGACGGCGATGCCTTCCCGTTTCCCTCTTCCGTCCGATTCTCGCCGTCGTTGCTCCCTCCCCCCGCGCACACTGTCCCGCCCCTCTTCTCCCCTCGCTTCCGCTCGTTGCTCCTAGCTTCCGCCGCCCTTTCAGTGGCCGGCACGGACCAGGCTCTTGGAGGCTTTCACCGCGCGGCTTTAACCCTCTCCTCTCTGTTCGGACGTCGACGTCGGGTGCCGCGAACTGGGACACACGGTGATCGAGCAACAGAGGCGCAGAGTGCACGGGGATCTGTGGAAGAGTGTGAGCGAGAGTGGCGGCGGCGGCGGCGGCGGTGGCGGCGGTGGTGGCGGCGGCGTCGTCGTGTGACGAGAGCCGGCGAGGCAGCGGCGTCGCGACGGGAACGGAGAGAGGACGACGGGCAGAGGCGGCGGCGGTGGCGGCGGTGGCGCTCTTCTAGCTGCTGGCCGCGCCAGCGCCCTGCACGCAGCCACCTTCAAACGCAGCCACGAAACCTATTTATACTCCGTCAACGTAGCGGACGACGTAGCGAGAACAGCGCCGTGTTCTGGCCGCCCACGCGAGCAACAGCCCGAACGTACCTCGCGCCGCGACCACGAACCACGTCCACCGACAGAAAGAGGCGACGAGCGGCGCAGAGCGCGACCAGCGGTGAACACTCGCTCACCTCATCCTTGCCTCTCTTTACGTGTTGCTGGCCTCGCCTCCCAATAATCGCCATAACTCGTCGTCGGATCGTGGCCGTTGGACGTAACTGGGAGCTGGAACTAACTGACCCGGGGAGTAACGGAATCTCGACGGAAATCTCGTTCATCAATCCCGTCGTGTACATCCACATATATACATATATATATATACATATATATGTATATATAATATCGCTCTCCGACGAAACTTTCTCCGACGAACCAACGACGTTGGAAAAGAAGAGAGACGTTCGCCTGGTTCACGCGCAGAGGAAGAGAAAGAGGGAAAAAGAGAGAGAGAGAGAGGAAGAGAGGAAGAGAGAGAGAGAGAGAGAGAGGAAGAGGTTCGTCGATGGACAGGAACGAAATCCTCATGGGACAGGATCAAGTTAAGCGGAGGTTGGCTAGCGGCTCGACCGCCACAGCCCACCCATAGGGGACGCCATTGAGAGTCTATCTTTTCCCTCGGCGTGTGATCGACCGTCGCGCATCCGCCTTCCCTTCTCGCGTCGTGTGCCGAGCCGATCTGCGCGCTCCGCGGCTACCACCTCCGCGGCGGTTGCTGCTCTCCACCTCGGTCGGCGGAGCTGCTCCGCTCGCTGGATGGGGTTGGGTGTCGTCGTCGTCGTGGTGTCGTTGAACGTGGTGTCCCATCCACGGTGGTGATCGAGTTTCGAGAAGGTGGACGAGAAGGTGTGGGGGAGGGGAAAAAAATCTTCTCCTTTCGAGGAGGTTTCTCGCGCGGCTGGACGGGGCCAGCGGGCGGGAAATGGCCGGCGGTGGTGTACTGTTATAATGCTCGAGGACGATCCGGTGGGTGGACCGAGGCGCGCCGATTCGAGCGATCGTTGTTGCTCAAGCACCGTTCAGGCCACCACCACCACCACCACCACCGCTACCACCACTACCACCACCACCACCACCACCACCACAACCACCATCACCATCATCGTCGAGGACATCCTCGAGGGCATCGTCTCTGAAGGGAACGGACGCGAGGAGGAAGAGACTGCGAAGAGGAGGATCTCGAGGGGGCGGCTGTTGTAGCCCCTCGAGCATAATTCGGCCCCAGTCGAGTGCGTGTATGGTGTTGCGCGCGTATGTGTCCGTCCGTGAGTGCGTGCGAGGAAGAGTGAAAAGCGAAGAGGGGTAGGGGCGAGAGTGGGCAGGGGGGGGAGTGATAACATAATAATCGACGACGAGGGGCCGTGAGGAGCGTGGTGGGAGCATGCAGGGTTCGGGCGAGGCCCGGAGAGGCCTTAGTCCCGCGGGTGGACCGGGATAAGGGTAACGCGGTCGATTACCACGCGTCTCGCCTCCTTCGGGGCGAAGCCAGCCGAAGAGGAGAGAGGATCACGGTCGGATTAACGCGTGCTTTGGTCGCGGCCTCGGCCGAGCGAACGTCCCTAAGGCTGAGATCGCAGGAACGCGGGAAGCGAGCTGGACTCGCTTTCGGGCGCATGGAACATGATAGAGGTGAGGCGATGCGATATCGATTGAGAGTTGCCCTGTCGATGGTTGAGATGCGAGCCAGACCTCGCGTCTCTCTCTCTCTCTCTCTCTCTTTTTTCTCTCTCGCTCTTCACGCTGCTTTTTCGTGCTTTTTCTTCGTCTGTTTCTCTCTCTCTTTCTCTCTCTCTTTGCGTTTACTTTTACATTTGATTATCCGTCGATCTCTCGCGAAAACTTGGAAGAATGAGAAATGCGGGAAGAGGGATTGGTTTCTTGGTAGGGATGATGGTGGTTCATATAACAGCTGGAAAACGTCGAGCATCGAAGAGAGAGAGAGAGAGAGGATTTAGGTTAGGCGGATTGTGTCGAGCCTGTTGATCCAAACGGGATTTATATTCGGTCTGAATGATTCGTCGTTAGCTGATACACGCGCCGAAACCAGGAAATCCGTTCTCTCGCGGATCTTGGTGGGGTATCGCGTTGTTTGGAGAGTATAGTTTGATGGATATTGCTATTGTGGCTTCGAAGAAGGTAGAGGGAAATTTATTTGAGAAATGCTCGCGAGTGGTCTCCAGTTGTGGAAATAATTGGAATCTAGGTCACGGGTTTAAGCATTGAGATAAAGTACACTTAACTCTTCGTGGTATCCTCGACACGGATCGAAAATTTCGTTACTTGAATTTCGTTGTTTAATTAATCTTTTATCGGAGAAATCTTTCGAATGATTTGAACAAATTATGGAGCAACGTCGACCGGATCTATCGGCAATTTTGGTAAATTTTTTTTTTAAAGAAATTTCTCCGATAAATAAATTGTAGATTCAAGGATGTTAGAAATAGAATATTACGAAGAGATGAAATTTAGAATATCTCGTTGCTCCATCGAGTCCACGTGCTTTAATGGGATCGATTCTTCATCAATCACGACGATTATCACGACGTTTTCGATACGTTTTCGAATCACTCGATGACGATGATGATACGTATACAAGATGTATTTATTTATTTATCGTTATCGTACGAGTGATTTTCAAGAATTATGTTTGAAAAATGTGATATTTAAAAATAGAGAGTGGAAGGAAAAATTCTTTCTTCTCTTCTTTTCGCGGCAATCTTTTCGAGTCGAAATGTTTTCGTATCTTTCAGAGCATGTAAACATTGTGCGAATGCACTTTTGGGCAATCTTCCAATAGTAGCCGGTGATTGCTCAGTCATCCTGTATCCGTGACATGCTTTTCATACCAACCTCTCATGAAACTTTTATCTTATCGTCTTCGCGTTGAATTTGTAATTTTTTTTTTTTTTTTTTTTTTTTTTTTTTTTTT